ATATATATATGTATATATATATACGTATATATATATGTGTGTGTGTGTCTGTGTGTGTTGGTGGGTGGGTATATATATATATATGTGTGTGTGTGTGTGTGTGTGTTGTGTGTTTGTATATATATATATATGTATGTATGTATGTATGCATATGCATGTATGTATATATGGTTTTGTGTGTGCGTGTGCATGTTTATCGATATTTGTTGATGTATATATATATATACATATTTTGCTGGAGATAAAGTTTCGTAGATTTAATAAGAATACCAATGAACCATTTATATTGAATTTGAACAAGTGTAGAATATTTGAAAAACTTTGACGTATGATTGTTTCCTATTTGTATTCAGATCCTCCTTCGCAGGAATTTTGTTGAATATATGTATTATACTTGTGGGAGAGTGCTTGTACAGATGTTAGCATCATTAAAGTTATCCTTAACACATGTGTGTATTGTACTTGTGCGAGAGTGCTTGTACAGATGTTAGCATCTTTAAAGTTATCCTTAACACATGTGTGTATTATACTTGTGCGAGAGTGCTTGTACAGATGTTAGCATCTTTAAAGTTATCCTTCACACATGTGTGTTTTATACTGGTACGAGAGTGCTTGTACAGATGTTAGCATCTTTAAAGTTATCCTTATCACATGTGTGTATTGTACTTGTTCGAGAGTGCATGTACAGATGTTAGCATCTTTAAAGTTATCCTTAACACGTGTGTGTCGTGTATGTATACGAGACGTTCACGCTAAACATTGGTTTAAGAACCGCTCGGATGTTAGCATGTGGGAAGTGATCCATAAGACATGTACTGTTTATTGTATATGTTTATACCTTTGCCCCAGCGGATGCAGATTAGGAAACTTTGTCTCTCACATATGGGGTGATGCAATAACTGCACACTGACAAACTCGCTCTGAAACACAGATCATGTGACGGATACAGATGTATCTGACATATATGCATATAGATATCTGTATAGCTTTTTGTGTAGGTATGTGTGTTTGTATTCGTCAAGGTCAACAATCACACTTGGTGTTCGTATTTTTACTCACTATATTGTTTTAATTCGTGTTTATGTTCTATCGCAAAATGAAGCACCAATCGGAACTACCATCGTACATATGTGTTCATATACCAGTATAATTAGGAGCCCAATTGCTACTACCATCGTACATATGTGTTCATATACCAGTATAATTAGGAGCCCAATTGCTACTACCATCGTACATATGTGTTCATACACCAGTATAATTAGGTGCCCAATTGCTACTACCATCGTACATATGTGTTCATATACCAGTATAATTAGAAGCCCAATTGCTACTACCATCGTACATATGTGTTCATATACCAGTATAAGTAGGAGCCCGATTTCTCATATTGAATTGTAGATCATGGTGGCCCCAGTCATTTTGTTCCAATATCTACTCACATACGTAAAACTCATAGATGTGTACGCCTACCACAGATTCACTAATCTCAACACTTAAACCACAGCCTCTTCCTTCTATGCCCCCTTACACACATTACTAATGAACCATATTGCTGTCCAAACTCATACGTACACGCACACAGACCCATAGGCACATGGCTGTTGTTCTGGCCTGGTGCGTGGAGTATCGCCTTAGCCGGTCCTGTTGCCCTGACCCCCCATTTAGGACTCCTGTCCACATTTGCGGTGGGTGCGTTTATTATGAGAGGGGCGGGTTGCACCATTAACGACATGTGGGACCGAAGGATAGACGACAAGGTATGCTCGTATACTGTCACCTGTGGTTATTGGGTACACACATGGTCAATTCTATGTGAAAATGAATATATCTGTGTGTGTGTTTGTGCGAGTGATTATACGTCTCAGTATAACTCAACCCTGTCTCCTATCCTCAATGAAATGAGACCTAGATGATCACAGAAGTCCTCAATGGGGATTACAGAAGTCCTAAATGGAGCAGGAGTCCTAAATGGGAGTTCAGGTCAGGGCGATAGAGCTGGCTAAGGTGATGCTGTTGATCCTTGTAACAAGATTGGTTCATCGCATCATTAAGTGGACCGCTCCCGCAGTCGGGCGTTGTCAGTGGCGATGGGCCCATTAATTAGACCGTTGCTATGTCGAACGCACTTTTATATGCTCTGCGCAAATAACATAGGTCAAATGGACTATTACCGAGCCAAATGGACGAATTCTGATTCCAATGGACTGATACTGATACAAATGGACTATTACCGGTGACTAATTCTGCATTAACTACAATTAATTCGCCGCACTAATAGGTGGAGCGCACCCGCAGTCGACCCATTGCCAGTGGGGACGTGTCCATGGACCAAGCGTGGAAGTTCCTGTTGGGTCAGCTGAGTCTGGGCTTGGGAGTGCTGCTCACCTTGAATCCATACAGGTGCGTTCGCCGGTACAAAGTCCTGATTTTGAGGTGCACTACCGGTCGCTAATGTGTCCCGTATCATCGAGAATGGACTTTTTAAGTGTGGGAGTCTTGTTCTGTTTGATATTGTGACCTTTGACGGTCCCTTCATATATGTTGCTACTCTGCTTGTCCCACTCACAGTATAGTCCTGGGTGCGGCGTTCATGGGTTTGGTAACTACATACCCCTCAGCCAAACGGTACACATAGTACCACATCACACCTGCAGACATCCTCCGATACCCCCACACTATACACACCTTTACCCTCATATTCATATCTGTTGCAACACTGCTTGTCCCGCTCACAGTATAGTCCTGGGTGCGGCGTCCATGGGTTTGGTAACCACATACCCTTTAGCCAAACGGTACACATGGTACCCTCAGGCCATTCTGGGGCTGACCTTCAATTGGGGTGCGCTATTAGGCTACACCGCTGTGATGGGTCACTCAGACTTTGGCATCACACTGCCACTCTATGCCGCGGGGGTGTCGTGGACAATGGTGTATGATACCATCTACGCACACCAGGTAAACCACACGCAGCAGACGCTCGAGTAATCTGAACATGCACTGGGAATGGAGTAGGACGATCGCCTGTGGCTGTCGTCGAATGTGTGTTCTTGTGTGTGTATGATCTGTTTGTTTGTGTGTGTGTGTGATTTAGGTATTCGCGTGCGTCTGTGTCTGTGTTTGTACCTGTGTCTGTGTGTGTATGTTTGTGTATGTGTTATACATATATATATATACATGTATGTATATATATATGTATATAAGTGTATATATATATATATATATATGTATGTATGTATGTATGTGAATCTATATATATATCTTTATATCTAGATGTATATGTATATATATGTGTGTGTGTGTGTATGTGTATGTATATATAGATATGTGTGTGTGTATGAATATATATATATGTGTGTGTGTGTGTGTATGTATATAAATTATATATATATAGTAGTATATATA